TAAGTTCTGTAACCGTGATGGAGGAGCATCAGCCATTGAGGGTGCCATCACAAACGGTCGAAACGAGGAAGCGGCGGGGGTGATTTTTTCAGAGGCGTTTTCCTCGTTACTCGACACACTGGACAGCCCGGACAGGGGTCTTCTGTTGAAGCAGTTGTTTCCGGTCATGGCCGGGCAGCCCGACATATTTCGCCATCAGCTATTCGTCGGATGTATCGCAGAACGCGTCGCTGACGCCTTGCAGTTTATCCGTCGATCAGGCGGTCTTCAGCTTTGGGCGAACGTCGCTTTGGCGCGTCTCCTGTTGAAATTCGCATCTGTATGCCTGGTCCGCAGTGGCTACTACTCTTTTCGAACGATCGTGTTTCCTTTGTTGGACGAAATGCTGACTTTGGAGGGCCTGCAGCTGATGACTACGAGGTTGGTGATCCGTGCGGCTGTGGTCGAACAGCAGTTGGTTCAGGAGATTGGGCCGATCGACCAGGAACTGACCTCAGTCCAACAGTTCGTTGGCCGTCATCTGTTGTCGTTCTTTACCGTCATTGAAAAAGACGTACATTCGTTCGTGTTCGGGAATTCAGACGGTTTTCTATGTGTATTCGTGCACGTGATGCGAATGTGCACTTCCATTTTTATGCTGTGTGATCACTTCCGACGGCAGATGGTCGCTGCCGAGGCAAAGAACAAGCCGATGACTACGTTTTTTCTTTCTTTGCTACATTTCGTTTGCAAGACTGATACCAAGCTCCTTGGAAAGTACCAAGGACGACTGGACAACGTCCTTAAGACATCACTGCATCTTCTGGACCTGCTGTTCACGCGAGCCGTTGACAAGGTGAGTCCTGTGCTGTACAATATGTGGAAGGTTTGCAATTAGCATGGGTGATATTGCGTCAAAATCTTTTCTGGTACTGTTTCCAGGCTAAGATTAGTGAGGGTTAAAACCATAATTTTTGGTACCTCGTAATTTAAAACGCGGCGGTGTGATTTTGAGTCGTTCTGTATTCATTTTTCGTTTCAGAAGGGTCCCTTTCATGTGTCCTCCATTAACTTGTTCATTCATTCGAACATCAGTTCACTCATTCACTCTACCGTTCATTCAGTTTTTTTGTTCGATCCTACATTCCTTTATTCATTCAACCTTTCATTCATTCATCAATTTGCCTATTATTTCATTCATTCGATGCATTTATTCATACTCTCCCTTGTTCATATGATTTTTCTCTTTGGTTTTTCATTCATTCGTTGTTTCGTTCGCCCATGATGTTAATCCTTCTTTCTTCTTCCATCTTTCCTTCATCCATAAATATCCATCTATCACCTTCCTAGCTCTTCATTTAGAATTGTGGGACTGCAACGTTCTCTCGCTCAGAACGTGGGTCGATTAGTCTAAGTCACGTTTTTGTATTTGATGGGTGACTTTGTATGATTTATGATAATTTACTGGGGTTTCAAATTTTAGGTCGGCCAGGTATCACCGGACTTGGACAGCAAAGTTCGGGGGCTGATTTTGAACGCTAAATCCAGGAACTTGCCTCTGTTGGTGAGGATTTTTCTTAAGCAAATCGTGACAAAGGAAACAAAGGTAACATGTCGGCATTCAGTGGCGCTGTTATTAAAAGTAGCATTGAGTTTTACCGTATTAGCTAAATATGAGGATGGCTGACGAATCGGCTGGAAGTCTGGTATACGCGGGTCATGAGACGAACTTGACGCTTGCAAACGAGGAGGATGGGTACAAGTCTGATTCAGAGTCATCTGATGTTCCAGGTTCGTTGTGATGTTTATGTGTCTATTTTAACTTATTGCTTTGCGCGTTTTAATGTACATTTAGCACCAAACTGCCAAAATTAGCTATGTATTTAATCATCGCTTACTTAAACGGATGTCCTGTCGTTTCATCGCGTTTCCATGGCATTGTCGCACCGGCACCTTACATCTGTATGCATAGAGCATCGTTTTTGGCAAAGCCGTTTTTGGCATGGGTTTCATATCATTTTAGCATCTGCAATGTGTAATTATATTCCACATCTTAGTGTTCAGCCGAATAAATACACCGTTCGAATACCAG